GATGACTCAGCCAGATGGTAAATTTTGTTACGTGTATTACCACAGTTTTTAAAAAAGGGACAGGAAGACACGCTCCAGGTTAACCTCGGTTTGGGACGGGCGTGACAGAGACAGGAAGGGAGGAAGGGGGAGGGGCGGTTGGCAAAGACGGAACAGCTCCCCCAAAAGTGCGCAGGTGAAGCCACGGATGTGTGGGAACCGTCAGCGCGACAAGGTGGTGTCAGGTGATCTGCCCTTATTTAGATCCACGAACCCCGCATCCTGCATCCCTTCACCATGAGGGTGCCCCACCGGCAGCAACAACAACACCGCGACGTGCATGGTGGCAACAGTTACCTTCAAAAAAGCAGCAAACCCCAACTCCATGCTAACACTGCAGACTCAGACCGAGTGTCCCCGGGGCATCTCATGAAACGGCCCCTGTAGCGGCGTGCGTTCTCCCGGAGACTCGTGATTGCCCCCGAGACGCTCTGCTCTGACGCTGCGGGTGGCGTCCCCCTGCCTATCGGATGAGCCCAACATCCGAGGCGGGCGGAGGCAGCTCCCACAGGTGCCCACACTAACCCACCCCATCCACGCACCTGGAAACTGCGGGTGGCGTCCCCCTGCCTATCGGATGAGCCCAAACCTCCGAGGCAGGCGGAGGCAGCCCCCACAGGTGCCCACACTAACCTACCCCATCCACGCACCTGGAAGGCAGGCCATCCCCACAGAACCATTCAGAGCCCTGGGCCCCCTGGGAGACCTGCACCACCTTAAACAATACCTAACCTAACCAACTAACTACCCAGCCACGAGCTAACCAACTAACTACCCAGCCACGAGCTAACTAACTACCCAGCCACGAGCTAACTACCCAGCCACGAGCTAACGAACTAACTACCCAGCCACGAGCTAACTAACTACCCAGCCATGAGCTAACTAACTAACTGAGCAGCCACAAGGTGCAGCACCGTTGCTCTCCATGACCTCACGTTGGACTTGGAAACAAACCTCAGTGTGTGCCTCCTGCCCTCAGAGCCCGGCAATTCCTCACAGACTCTGGTGAGCAAGGCTGCCCTGCGGACCCAGAACAGTGGCCTGAGACCGTGCAGCCCTCAGCTTCCTCTTTCCCTGCACACACGTGTGGCCACTGGCTCCCGCCGCTCACAACCAGCTGCCTGGCACCACATCCCTAAGACGAAAGGCTGGGGGAGATCAGCTCTTCCCCCAAGGGGTCTGGACAGGTCCGTAAGCTCCTGAGAGCACCCGCGTTTGGGAACAGAGACCCTGTCCCAGAGAGTCACAAACCCACCAGCATCTTAAAGCCTCTGAGGGCCCGGCCAGTGTGCTCAGTGGTTGAGCATCAACCCATGAACCAGGAGGTCACAGTTCAATTCCCGGTCAGGGCACACGCCCGGTTGCAGGCTCGATCCCCAGTAGGGGGCGTGCAGGAGGCAGCCGATCGATGATTCTCTCTCATCATGGATGGCTCTGTCTCTCTCTCTGAAGTCAATAAAAACATGTTTTTAAAAAAGGCTCCGAGAAGTCCTGCAGGACAGAAGCTTGGCGGGTGCTGTTGACTCTGTGGTGCCCACCCTGGCAGAGAAGGGGCCGTTCTCCCCACAGCACATTTCCCACGACCCCCAGGGACGCCGTGGGGAGGGCCCGGCATCCCTCTCAGCTCTGCAGCTTCTCGATTCTGTGCGGAGTAGGGCCCTGCCTCCCCCCACGCCCCGCTCACCTGGCCCTTGAGGAAGATAAACGTGCAGGCAGGGCTGAGCGCGCTGCACTGTGAGGTAAGACGCTGTTTACCTCCAGCTCTGCAGACTCTGCGGGGTCCACAGCGTGTCCCCCAGGCTCCCACGGGTCGGTCGGCCGGGCATACTCATGCACGAGCCCGAGGCCAGGGCCTTGCTTGCTGGCGGGCAATCTTGGCTGGTTCTGAGCCCTGTTGGGCCCGTCCTCTGAATCTAGACCAGGATTTGGCAATCGATGGACCCACTGCCTGGTGTTGTCAATAAAGCTTTATTGGCACACATCCCTGCCCTGCTGTTCACATGCTGCAGTGGTTCTCAACCTTCTGGCCCTTTAAATACAGTTCCTCATGTTGTGACCCAACCATACAATTATTTTCGTTGCTACTTCATAACTGTAATGTTGCTACTGTGATGAATCGTCTTGTAAATATCTGATCTGCAGGATGGTCTTAGGCGACCCCTGTGAAAGGGTTGTTCGACCGCCGAAGGGGTCGCGACCCACAGGTTGAGAACCGCTGACATACTGACCCTGGCTTTCTCACTCGCTCACAATACCAGCAGTCAAGGAGATGCAACCAAGGTCACACGGTCCACGAAGCCTAAATTTACTCTCTGGCCCTTCGTTAGCTGACCTTTGGTCTAAACCTGGAAAATGTTGACCGCTGAAGGATCAGGGGCCCAACCCCTCTCCCAGCTCCTCCTGGAGCCGCTCCCAGCAGGCTCAGGCCCCGTGTCACGCCCACTGGCTGACACCTCGTGCCCAAAGCACAGGCCAGTGCCAGGATCCTGACATCTGTCCACCCCCCCAGACTTGCCTGGCCCCCTGGCCCCTTGGCTCCCTTCACAAACCACAGCCTCATTTAAAGCAGCTACCAGCCTTTTTTTTGTTGTTGTTATGAACCCAATTTGCAAACTTTAAAACGTCTACCCCCCAAAGACCTAGATTGTGTGGTGGACACAATCTTAGGAACATGCACTGGACATAGGCACTGTGCCCGTCCCTCCCCCAGTGATGGGCAGTGGACGTATCAAGGGCCAGGGATCCCCCTGAGCGCTGCCCTGAGCGCTGCCCTGGAAAACCCCGTGACGGGGAGAGGCTGGGTCCCAGGACCAGGAGCCACACCCTCCTGGCGCTGGGCAGGCAGGAAGGGAAGGATTAGGGACCCCCCAAAGAAGGCGCCAGCTGCTCCCCAACAGCAAACACCAGGGCCACGCAGGGGGATTTCTGTGTTTTGACTCAGAGCATACGTCTTTCAGATTAAACCAGCGCAGACTGACATGCAGCAATGAGGAAAGCCCCTTAGAAGCAGCCGGCGGGGTGATGGCTGTTGCCAGGGAGTGGGCGGAAAGGGACTGATGGGGGCTGGTGAGGGGCGGGAGGGCCGGGCACCTCTGCCCAGCGGCTGCCACCCAGCGCCCTCCCTCCAGCCCTCCAGGCAGCCCCCCCACCGGGGAGAACATCGAGGTCCCATCCCACCTTCCCGGCTGTTTGACGGCCTTTAGCCACTGTTCAAGGGTGGTTTGGGGCAGCCACCCGGGCACCACCCACTGACTTTCGTGGGCACTTCAGGCGAGTCTGAGTGCTTGCACGGGGGACGTCTGGTGGTGCCCATGGCACAGGGCAGAGACGGGGCTCAGAAAAGTGACGTGAGCAGTGCTGGGGCCGACCAGGTCCCAGCGGCCCCCCGGGGTGACGCTTCATTGCCCAGGCATCCCATGAGCACCAGGCCCAGCAGCCCCCAGGAGGGGACACAGACTCAGCCCCACGCGGAACCTTCCACCCGGCCCCTCCCATGCCAGGGGCTGCAGGACCCCGCCATCTGCCCAGCCCCACCTCCGGGGAAGACGGGATACAGGAGGTGCAGGTGCCCGAGGAGCCTCAGGGACCCCGACTCCCCGCGGCGTCTTCCCTGATCCTGGGACAAGCCAGGGCAGACAAGGGGATCCAAATACACAGTTTTTATGGAGAAAAAGAAGTGCAACCACAGGGAGCTGCGTGCCAGCCCAGGAAGAGGCCACCCAAGCGAGAGGCAGCTTCGGGCAGCGGCTGCTTTTAGCAACACGCCCTGCGCGGCCGCCACAGACCTTCGCCGGCAGCTAAAAGAGGGAAGTGAACGAAGCAGTTCTCCGGATAGCACAGAGGCTGCCGGGGGCCAAGCTAATGATAGGTTTCAACTCCGCCACCCAAATTTGTCCAGACGGCCGCATACGGAGAGGGGCCTCGCAGAGCGTGAGGCCGGGGAGGGAGCCGGAGGGGGGCCCCCCAGCCGGCTGTGCCGAGCCCCCCTGAGGTCCTGCCGGCCTCCAGCCTCCACACAGAGCCCTCAAAAACCATCGGGTGGCCCTTCATGAAACATGCGGGTCGCCGTGGCAAGCTTACCGAGTGCCTGCTGTATGCCAGTGTCAGAGGGCCACCTCGGGGACAAAGACCAAACTCTCGCATACGAACGCCATTTATGACCTGGTTCTGACCACGATGGTGGCCTGGTTCCCCACTGCCCTTCCGGCTGCAACACACAAAACACAGCATCCCTAACAAGCTGGGGTGGGCACCGGACTCCCCTGGCCTCTCTCGTTTTGGTGATGATCCTCCGTTTTGACTTGGGAGACTCCCTCTTCCCACTCCCGGCCCCGGGCTGTGTGCCTAGGCTGTGCGCCAGCTCTGGGGGCAGGGATACGCCTCAGTCCACTGCCCTGGGGCATCACCCACCCCCTAACAGTGAGTATGCAGGCCAGTCAGAGCCAGTCTTGGGATTTCAGCTTTAATGACCTTCTGAGAAAGAGGCCCAAAACACGGAAAGCGGATGCTGACATAGAGAGGCAATTGCCAACGCCGGCGTCTGAGCCCCTGGATCCAGCCACACCTGAAACCCCCTTGATTTTTTAGCTACTTACAGTTCAGCAAACCAGTCGCCCGTTGAAGGCTGTTTGGATTGGGTGTCTGTCCCTGACAACTGGAAACGTCCTACCTGACTCGAAGCCGAGCTTTTGAAAGACTTCACTTTGTTGCTCATGCTGTTTCTCCCACCGGGAACTCTCGGCTTTCTTATCAGGCTTTTCCCCAGGGAGCTCTGACCCTGGACTCGGTTCCCCCTGGAAAGCCTTCCTGACCTCTACCCCGTGCCATTCAGAGGCCTCTGCTCTGTGTCCTTCACACCTGTGTCTGCTTTCCATTCATTCACCCCGTCCTCAAATATGTGCCAAGCGGCCCTGCCCGGCCCCGCGGTCAGCGCGGAGCTGCTGCGAAGGCTGTTTTCTTACCTGTCTCTGCTCCTGGAAGGCAGGGACCAGGCTGCTCCAGCACCAGGCCCAGAGCCTGGCATGCAGAAGGCACCAGACAAACAACTGCTGGAGGAGGAAGGAGCAATCCTGCCTCAGGGTGGCACGCCTCCTCCATGGCTGCATCGTGAGTGGGTGCTGGGGTGGAAATCTAAGCCCATCAGAGGGGGAGGCAAACCCGGTTGGTCTTACTTCAATCTGCCCAGAACCCAGCCATGGGCTGTGGGCAGCTCTTGCTCACCCTCATCCCCTCGCTGTCCCCCCCGGTCCCCAGCACCAGCCTCCTCTGCCCGGGCCCCCCAATGTTTCCACTCAGTGAAAAGCAGATGTCCACAGCGGCCCACAGACCCTTACAGCCCCACCCCCTGTGCCTCCTCGACCCTCTCCCCTCTCTCCTCCCTCACACTGGCCTTCCGGCTGTTTCTGGCACATGCCAAGCTCCTACCCCGGGGCCTTTGCACTTCTCGGGCCCTCTGCCTGGTACCAGGTGCACTGGGCCTGGGCACTCAGGCGGCTGTTGCCTCGTTTCCACCACGGCCACCTTTCCCGGCCACCTTACTTTACGTGACAACTGTTCTCTGTCCCCAGCATTCCTGCCCGGGTCCCACTCAGCTCCTCGCCACGGCACTTTCCCTACAAGATGCTCACTTGTCCCTACAAGAACACGTGTTCCACGGGGGGGCCTGCAACAGCTCCTGGAGCACAGGAGGTGCTCAACAAAGACCTGTTGAAGGAGTGAGTGGCTCCTTCCATCCCATGAAGCCACTTTGAACCACGCCACACTCCGCAGAAATGCCACCCCCACAGAAGCAGGGCCTCGGGCTCCCCCTCCTACGCCAGCTTCCTGAAGGGGTAATAGGTGTCCACCTGTCTGTCCCTGACCTGATCTGGACTCTCCCCCAGCTGATCTGCCCCAGGTCTGCCCTCTGGGGCCCCTCATTCCTCCATGTGGCCAGACTCACTCCTGCACACCCCAAACTGCCCCCGGCGTGTGGGGCCTCCTGTGCCCAGAGGGCAGGGCGCAGCCAGCCCCTCACCTGCCCCGGCGCCCTTTCCGGGAAACCAGTCCGCAGGGGGGCAGAGGTGGCTCCCTCCCGGCTGTGGCTGCGTGCGGAGCTGTCCCTGCGGCCCCTCCCACTCGGTTTTCCAAGAAACAACGTGTCTGGTCCGGATCAGACAATGCTGGCCCCGAGGCACACAGAACAGACTTGTCCCAAACATGACCGTCTGGCCTGGTGGCAGCTCTATCTGCGAGGTTGAGGGTCACAGGAGTTATCTCCGCCGTGAGCTGTGGCTCTGAGGCGGCCCGGCCGTTCCCAGAGAGTCTGGGCGCCTCCTCCCTCCGGAGCCACACAAAGTTCCCTTTATGGGAACCCGGCAGCCGGCACCGGCAGTTTCAGCCTCAGGGAAACCCAGGTTTGGGTTTTCTCCGAGGGCACAACCAGGCCTTTGTCTTGCCTTTGCCCCATCCCCACCAGCTGGCTGGCCGGCCTCCCTGTCGAGTACACAGCGTCCAGGGCCCAAGTCCCTGCAGCCAAGCCTTCCGAGGCTGGGCACAAAGAGACACCACAGAGGACAGCAAGGGACGCGCACCCCACACTGAACACGACCCACGCCCCCCACCGAAACCTCACAGAGGGCCCACTGTGTGCTGAGCAATGGGGTCCAAGTGGAACCTGCCACAGAGGCAGGCGATCAATGGGATGACAGCTCATTCGGATTCAATTCCTTGATGCAACCAATCGCTGTGAGTCCCACTACGCACCTGTCTGCAGGGTACTGCCCACCTGGAGCCCATTCCAGCTGCATCAGGTGCACCAACTTGCTGAGAAAAGCGTGAACGTGCAGGGATTGGGCCCCCCTACCTTGGCACACAAAAGGGGTACGGCCTAAAAAAAAATCTAGAAAAAATGGAAAAAAAGAAAGAAATGAAACGAAACAGGAACTGGGAGCACATGGAGCGAGCAGGGTGCCCCAGGAGGATTCGGAGCTCAATTCCAGGGGCCAAGAGGAGACGGTGACAAGACTGCAGGCGCCCTCCTCTTTGGGGTCTGTATGCTGGTTCTTCTTCTTGCAGGAAAAGTCCCCCCAACTTCCCGCTGGCCACCAGGAGGAAGGGTCTGAGAGGGAGGGAGGGGGAGAGGGAGGAGGCCCACAGTCCCACGGCCCCAGGGTCCCGTGGACACGGCCCCGCCATCTGTGGGCATCTCAGCAGAAACCCACGGCTCAGCACCCTGGAAGCCCAGCTGCGGGACGTCCGTGGTGTGGACGTGGCATCATCTCCCTGAGGCCCAGGCAGCCTTAAGGATCTGCAAGGGCCACTTCCCCAGCATCTGCCCAGCTGGGCTCTCCGCCCGGAGGACACTGGGGCAGCCGGAACCCCCTCCTGGGAGGAGACGGGCTGTGTTGTGCGCAGGTGGAATCCATGAAGACTAAGCGGGAGCCCAAATTCAGCCTCCACTGCAGACAGGCCTCAGGCGCGGGTGAGGGGCCGCTTGGCATCACGATGTGGACCAGGGGTCCTCAAACTTTTTAAACAGGGGGCCAGTTCACTGTCCCTCAGACCGTTGGAGGGCTGGACTATAGTTTAAAAAAAAAACTATGAACAAATTCCTGTGCACACTGCACATATCTTATTTTGAAGTAAAAAAACAAAACGGGAACAAATACAATATTTGTATTTGCATGTGGCCCGCGGGCCGTAGTTTGAGGACCCCTGACCTTCAGGGTCCGCCTTGGCGCCTGGGCTACGGGCATCTTCCGAGATGCGCCGTGATCTCCCGACAGGCCCTGGGGGACAGCTCCCAGGCCAGCGGGGCAGAAGCGGAAAACCCCAGCGATTCCGTGGAAGAGACATCCGCCGCTGAGCGCCAGGCAGAGGGGCTGGGGGGCCAGAGAGGGTCCAAGTGCAGCTGCCACCCCCCTCGGCGCTGGCCCAGCGGGAATCAGTCTGTCCCATCTCGCCGGTCGAAGCCGCCAGCACCACGGAGCGGAAAAGGTCGGATGCTCAGACAGAGGGTCAGCAGTGTGGGTTTCCCCTCTCTAAGACAGCAGAGGGGAGGGGGCGCTGGCAGGACCGTGGGCGGCCCGGCCGTCAAAGGCCAGAGCAGGGAGGGACGGCCACCCGCTCCCAGACACTGCACAGCCAGCATCAAAGAGTGACGGCCAGACACTGTCACCACGGGGAAGGTCACGTGTGGGTCAGAGCCGGCGGCACGGGAAGGGAGTGACCTCTCTCCGAGGCCCATTCAGGAACCTCCCTGCAAGCCCAGACGTCTGCGGCAGCCAGACAACAAAGGGAGGGGGGAGGGGAGGGCTGAGGTGTCTGACGGTCCCGCACGCGCTCCCCTCCATCACAGGGGCCCCATGGCTGCACCACCGCCTCCCGTGGACCATCAGAGCGGCCGGAGCAAGACCGAGCGAGCGTGCTCCACCAGCCTCCACCGGCCGGGCCCGCTGACCTCCGGGTGCTCTGGCAGTTCAGCCCCGTGGGACCCAGGTGGTCCCGGCCTCCCCCGCCTTCAGCACAGGACCCTGTAAGCTCAGCTCTCACGGGCAAGTCTGCCGGTCCTCCCACGGGTTCCTCCCACGGCCGGCCGTGAGGGACACCCGTCTCGCTGGGCCTCACTGAGACGCCCCTCCCCGCCGACCATCAAGTCAGGACTGTTATATCCTGTTTGCCAACAGGTGAAGTCAGAACACAACTGGGGAGGCTAGCGAGCGGGACTGGGGAAAACCTGTGGGGGTGAGAGGCAGGCAGGGGCGATGGAGCCGATGACCCGGGTTCAAATCCCAGGCCTGACCCTTCCCTGGCTGTGACCTGAGGTTTTTTTGGGCCTCGGTTTCCCCACCTGCAAAACGAGGACAACCACCTTATCTGTCTCACAGTTGTGTGTGTGTGTGTGTGTGTGTGTGTGTGTGTGTGCGTGCGTGTTTCTGAGACACACAGAGAAGTTTTATTCATCACGCCTGCTAACACTCGTACTGACTCGGACCCGTCACAGAGAGAGGCGCAGGCCGGGAGGGGCGGGGCGGGGGCGGGCTGGCATCGAGCACACAGTCACCGTTCAGTGAGGACTTGTCACTGTTTCTCAGATGCCAGCGTTTGGGACAGCAAACTGACAATCAGCCGCTTGTTGCGGAGATGCTAATTTTGGATGTCACCCTACACTTTGAGCCATTAAGGGCTTCATTCCTTTTTGTGGTTGTTGTTTAGGGATCTTTATTTTTTTATTTTGGGGGGTATTCCCCCCCCCAGTGGCCTGGCATCCCCCTCTCCCCACAACAGAACAGCATTCCTGTTAAAGTTCCCAAGACGGGCAACTCCAGAGTGCAGAGGCTGATGGGACATCGCTGGGAAGGAGCGGAACGTAGCCGTCGTCCAGGGATAACATGTTCCTCCATTAAAGCCACCAACATGCGGATCCTCGCTTGCTTCCGGGTGGTGCTCTTCGCAGATTCCCCAGCAGCTGAGCCAAAGAACAGGAGGATCTGACCGCGCCCTCCGTTAGTGATGCGGATGGGGGTGGTCCCCTTTAAGAGGGGGCTCCGGACGGGTCGGGGCAGCCGCTGCAGCTTCTCTCTCTCAGGGTGGTTTTAAGGTGAGACGATGCTGTGCGCACATCCCGGGGCCTGGTCCAGGCTGAGTGCTCGCTCAAGAGAAGCTGCAGGGACGGGCCCAAGACCGAAGGAGGAGCTGGGGCCCCAGGGACTGCGCCCTGGGATCTGGTTCCTTAATAAAGAGCTAATCAAGGCCCTTTGGGAGCGTGGGGAGAGCAGGAATTGACTCTCTGCCCAGCGCTATTCCCAGGCCTCTGCCCGTCCGTACAACAGGCACATCGGGGCAGCTCCCAGGGACGAGGGGCTGCAGCGGGGAAACGGGCAGCTCGGGCCCAGAAGGGGCCGCATGCGGCGGGCACTCGGTCAACGGTGCCCATGGGCATGGCTCTTGCTGCTGCTGCAGGTCCCAGCCCCGCGCTGCCCCCAAACTGCCCCCCAGGT